GACAGGACAGTGTCGCAGGCGAGCTCGACCCCGCCGGCCTCGCTGCCCGCCGACTGGACGGTGCCGCTGGTAAGCCCATATACACGATTTATTTCATAAATTCGAGTAAATGTAAAGAAGAGCCGTTCGCCTTGTGGCCATTACCCTTAGTCTATTTCCAAATTTTGAGGCATTGGCACTGCTTCAAATCACAGATTTTTTAGAAAAAGTATCTCTTGAAAGTTTGCGTAACCTGAAACACTGCCATTCTCCCAATGTCTCCCAATGTAATGTAAACGCTGTTATTCTCTAAATGTTGCAATGTTAGATATACAACATTCACAGGGGAGCTAGCACTCTTTGCGAACCGATTTGTTTGATTCTTGGGCTTCTAGGTAGTGTTCTTCGGGTCAGATAAGGCCAAACAGGGTCAGTGTGTGCAGGGCCGTGGCACCGACTTGCGCAGTCAGCCTCAACTTAGATGTTGTGCTCTGAGCAAGGAGTCCCTCGGGCTTATATCAGCTCAGTGACCTGATCTGAACTTTAAATGCTAAAAACGACAAACACTACGAGACGGCCTTAATACGTTGAGTTCTAAATCACCCTCAAGGACCACTCTACGTGTTTTTGTTTACTCTCGGTAAGTTCTCAAAGCAAACGTTTGAATGAGGCACTGGCATCAGTAACCGCCCCGGACCTTCATGAAGTTAGCATAAGAAACTTGCTCATGCCCTGGTCATAAAGGAATTCTAGACAAGCATAACAACTCACTTGTAGGGTAAGTTTTCAGGCTTTCTGAGAAGAGGTGTTGCTTGTAATTCTAACCTAAATTTTATTATTGTCTAAGGAAGCATGTTACGCAGCATAAGTTCATCTAACACTTTGGTGTCGCATGAGCTTGAAAGATCCTATAACAACAGCTTTCGCTAACAAAGAGGGTCTGACCGTCCTGCTTCAGGTCAACAACCTTAAGATGGATGTTTAAGTTTTCGCGTCAAAGATTAGCTGCGCAGTTATGTACAGCGTGTCAAAATTCCTGCATTGCCCCGTTATCGCTTTGAAGCTATTTTTTAGAGAAAAAAAACCATAGGGTGGTCAGATGGCGCTCTTTAGCCGAGTGCATGTTAAGCCATTTTCAAGTGTTTTTAGTTTCTAAATGTATTCCGAATGGTATGTATGGGTTTCTTTCGATTCGGAGTACATGCACGCATAGCTTGTTGCGTATGCCCTCCATCGAAGATCATGGCATATAAGGCCATGGTGTAAGCTCAAATGACCCTTTTTATGTCTCAGAAGTAAGATAAATAGTGCTTCCTCTGACTTCAACCAGCATAACTATTCGGAAACCAGGAATACTCTGTGCGGGCTTTCTACAGACAAAATGACTTGTCTGCTCGGCTCGTCGGGCCAAACCTGTCACATAACCTACGATCGTCTTAGTAAAGGTCAAGGAGGGTCACAATTGTTACAGTCAACGTGACTACCGGAAGAGTACTACATCGTTGTTTTTCTTTTTATAAGAACGAGGGATAGTAGAGTGACAATAGAGTGATACTTGTCGGTTCCAAAAGTTCCTGCATGCGCGTCGCTTTGACAACGAAACTTGTAATTAAGACAAGCACTCGTATTGCGGCGGTATGTACTCCGTGAATGTGGAGCTCTTGTGTTGCAATCCATGAACGCTCTATCTTTAAGGAATCCTTACCCCCCCCCCCGCCCCCTCCTGTCTGCCCAGACCCCTTCAAGTTAGTTTTTATCTGAAAATTTCAAGTACAGTGCCGTTGTTATGTGACAAACGGGTCAGTTTTGTGTAAACGGAAAATCCTAAGATAAGCTAGCGTACCGCTTTATTCCTTACCTGTGACTTGTACAGATTCTGAAGCACCGTTGGTCCTGTTGTCCCTTGTATAGACTTGCAATTCACTCCAACATGCTGGTGTACCTACTTTTGCTCGTTTCGCATGAATTGCATTGTTCTCCAAATATTGGAATGTTAGCGCACCGAGGATACAGTACCCGAGTATCAACAATATCATTCCTAAGTATATGAACACGTGAGAAACGAGCCATTTCAGGGTATCTCTTCCCTCCAGATGCCGGTGGAGCCAGGTACTGAAGTGAAAAGAGTTATCTTCCATGTTGACGCAAGAACCACTTCGATTCAGAATGTTATATTCACGGCTGAAGCTTGCTAGTAAGCTACATGCTCCATATTGTTGTCATGCCTCCGTTTCTTGACAGAAATTAATTATAGGCGAAGCCACAGGGCTGCGTTACAAAAATAAGAATGGTGTGGGATGCCGCAAAGTCGCCATACTTGCCTGCATTCGACATTTTTGATAGAGCGACGAGAAGCATGCACTTCCTTGAGAGGCTCCTCTTAACAACTCGAACGAAGATAACTCTCCGACTTCACTTAAAAAAACTGAGGCAATACCAGTTGATGCATCTTGATCGGCAACAATTCTCGGTTGAAGGTGAGTGTTTGCAGCACGCGAATAAAAGTTATTGCAAAACGTCCCGGCACTAGACCTAACTGTTCATATGCATACCACAAGCAATAATGACAGTCGTGCAGTCGACCAGTCCTATGTAAATGAGCTGCAGGAAAAACCTTAAATGTATCCTAGTGAGTTAGTTTTTAGTTTAGTCCGGCTGGTTCAAGTATAAATGAGCATGATCAGGTTTCGTTACATGCTCAGATTTCAGGCGTCTCTTACAACGGTCTAGTGTGAGCCACGGAGATAACTTTAATAGTTGTGAAGGATCCAGGACAAAAGCAAAGATGTCATTAAAATTAAAGACAAAGTATCAACATCCCACAGTTCATGGTGTCTCAGTATACCTTGCAAATTACATCCCTTACAAATTACATAATCATCATAGTATCATTACGGCTTAACGTTTGTGTCAGTGTCATCATAACATTAACTGTCATACATCACGTTTCAAATCAACAGAGCTCTCCCAGCCCAGGGGGTGTTGTACCTACGCATGACATTACGTAGATCCACGTAATGGATCTACGTGATCCATAAAATACCAGTGTTTGCTGTTAGTCACAGATCAAGCTATCTGGGCAACAACTCTGTGACGTTGGTGTGGTGGGAACGCCAACACTGGGAACGTTAACATGCCAGGCGTAAACCACACGCCAGAGCGAGAGAGATCATCATGGATAAGAGCCAAAACTCAAAGCGAAAAATTATACAAAGGCAAATACAAATACTTATACAGCTTTTGTCTTCAGTACCATTGCAACTACTGTTCGATTAGGAGAAGCCACCTGGGCGGAAGCGTTCCGACTTTGGCGTAGGAGACCATTTGCATTGCTGAAATGTAAGGACATGAATGGCGAATGGCGAACACATTGCATGCAGAGGGGCCAGGGTGGGTTTGAGTTTCATAGCGTCGACTCACTAACCTGCCAGTTTCCAGCGAAATCGGTAGAACTGCTCGGGTTTGAATCGATTTCAGGAGTCTGCCTTGCCAGGGACTTGCTCCTCTTTCCCTCCCCCGAGTGACGCAAGTTTGGAAGAAGAAAACAGCGTTTAAGGAAACATATGATAAACAAATATCCTTCCATTCACCACAAACGAAAAACCGACACAGGGCTACAGTACCGCTACCGAACTCAAGCGACAAGATTGGCGATGTCTATTTGAAGGATGTGTTCTCTAAACAATGACTGTTCATGGTAAAAATAGACTGAGCCTCTAGCCTGGCAAAATTTAGAAAATGACACGTCCGTCAAAAAGGAAAATAAAGATATGGAAAAAGTATGCGTCCGACGTGAATGCCATCCGATTTTACGTGCAGATCAACAGGATTTCTACCAGATCTTGATTATGTGGATTAACCTAGATCATCTGATCTTGGTCTTGAGCAGATTTGACAGCAGTTCAGGGTTCTGAAAAATTGTGGGATTTATTGATGTCGTTGAAAGCGCATAGAGTGAGACGCCTGAAGGAAGACGCCCGTGAAGGAATCGCGCTAACATCCAGAGGGTACCGTGATCCTCCACGACCTAAAATCACTACGTGGCTTTGTAAAAAATGGCGTCTAAAGCAAGGATCACTGACCCCGTCATTCCGAACCTGCCCGAAATTTCAGGGTCGGCTATTCCATGTGCTGGTGTCATCAGGAGAGTGGGATGTCTTTTTTCTGGCAGCGCTGGAAGTTGACGATGTTAGCCTGGTTGTTACGCCTTACGTTTTAAGGAACATCGGCTGTCGGCGCAATCTCGCTGAAAAATGCTGGTCAGTATTAAATACATAAGATGCTAGTGCAAAATATCATTACCAGCTGACTCTTGGCTGGTGTCTACCAGTGCGTCGAAGGTGGTGCCGATGCGCACACGTAGCATGCTTCCATGGCATATTTTGCATCGAATTTAAAATGGTATAAGAAATGATTTATTACATTCACGCCCGAATGCAGGCTCCGAGGAAGCCCACTGATCTTGGAGGCACTGCGAGGACGAGCTATTTGGTTATGACGCCACTGAGCTGGTAACCAACTCTCCGGCCATGAACCCATAAAAGTCTCCAAGATGGCATGAATGATCAACTGCCTAAAACGGTGGCATTAACATGACGTTAAATTAGCAAGGTTTCATGTCAGAGATTTATCGGGCATTACAAGAAGCTTCATCCTTGCAAAGTCCTCACAATGTATGAGGAAGCAGACACTTTGAAATAGTCTCTGCCCTTTAACAACCAAACGTCCTTGCATAGCTTGTAAAATATTGGCATAATCTTTACCGAAGCCAGTCTCTGGGATCGAAGGTTTTAGCGCTCACACCAGCATGCAACTGGAACAGCTTTCAGCAGCCCACAGTGTGCTACGCTCTCGTTTGTAGAGGTGTTCCCGAAAAAGCAATACAAAGTATGCGCATAAA